AGCGTTAGCAGTCCAGATAAGCTTACCCGGTACATACCGTTGGACTATAGACTTTGGATATTGTTTCGTACTAACCAACCTTCGTTCTATTAATCACTCTATTGTTAATTGCTTTTATGAATATACCAGTATTTTCCTCTACAACTGTGTTTGTCTTAATTCATACACCGACACGCGGGAAACTCGCAACATCTCAACAATATTCTATATCTATAAATGTTGATCTAACGAAATTTTCCTGTCTCTTAATACTCTACTTAGCTTTTGGAATGCATCTTTGCCCATCCCAAAACGCCTTCGTTTTTTTTTCTTTTAAATTCCGGGAGATACCTTCTCTTGGACAAACAGAATAAAAAGTATCTTCCAAAACATTGTTTTTTTCGTTTATATTCCAGTCACGATTTTCGTAAAACGGGTGCTTTTAATTGAGGTGCCGGTTTTCGTTGACTTGCACGCATTTTTGTGTCACGGACTTTAATTTTCGCAACTGTAACTGATGTTTGTTAGAAACAAATCAAAGACTATTGAACTGTTACGTGATATCTGTCCTCCTGTATGTCAGGGAATGCTAGACAATCTCCTCAAAGATGAAGAAAAGACTTGAAGCAACAGAAATATGGTTCTACAGAAAGATACTGAGAATACCATGAATTGAACATGTGCGAAACGACGAAGTTCTGGATAAAATGGAAACAAAAAGGAAACATATTTAACATCAGGAAAAGTAGAAATTTCTAGGATATGTAATGAGGAAGGAGGGCTTGGAAAATCTGATACACACAGGGTAGATTGACGGAAAGAGGGACATATGAAAGCAGCGTGTAACATATTTGATGAGATTGAATAAAAGGATGTTAGAATAGGCTTTGGGAGAAATAACAAAATGAGAATACTTATTAAGAGCTAAAAGGGGCAGAAAGATGTGGAGGGTCATGATCGCCTACGCCTAAAGGGGAACGGCACATGAAAGTACTGACATTAGATTCGGTGCCGTAATGCTACATTTGTCTGGGTGTATTCTAAAGTCCCATAAAATTGTTACAGATCGCATCTCTGTAACTGGGTCTGGGTGATGTTCATACTAGTTTCTTGCAAGTTCCTTCCCGTAAAAGTTTCAAATTTTCCAGTGAAGATATTGGCCCACCCTATCATGCTGAGTTTTATATTCAGTTAAATGCTAATAACGTGCAATCTGGTTAATTGTTTCTGGATATTTATCACAGAATCTGCAATTCGGGTTCACAATTTCTCTGTATATGTGTTTGGTAATCCCTAGTTAGCAAGCTTTTTTTTCCTGTGCAGCCAGAATAAAAACTTCGCTTTCAGCTTTTAATCCAGCACTACGTAACCACTGATGGGTACGTGGTGTCTCTACAAAATTTGTATGGTACGCGTAGATTATTGACCATGAAGAGGCTTATCTTGCCATCATAGTTGCATTCGGTACATTGCATTTGCCTTTGCTTTCTTTTTTTAAGTCCTTTACCGCTGCAGTAGATATATTATATTTTACTTGTATTTCTTCACCAACTTTAAATTCACTTTTGAATTTTTTGGCTTCCTTTATTACTGAATAAAGTTTCTTTCATGTTCTTTGGCACAGATCATCATCCAGTCTTCTGTAGTTTTCAGGCATCTTTGAAGACCAATTGTTGTGGTTTTGTAAGACAGTTCTAGTTGAACTAATCCTCTGCCTCCTTCGGATCTGGGCACGTACAGCTGATCAAAATCAGGATTATAATGATGAAAGTGGTGGTAAGGGAGAAGCTTTCTTGTTTTGATATCCATTCGATTAATGTCTAGTTTTGGTCCAATTAAGGTTGTTGAAAGTGTTTTGCACCACAGAGACAGCCAAAGATTTCAGTGCTAATAATCTTTCCCTCTATTTTTTTTTTTTTTTTTTGTGAATTCAACTCGGTATTTAACACCGGACGCACACGCCTGTAGTATTGTTTTCCTACTTTTTTCTTCTTTTGTGTATGCTGTATTCCATCTCCTTCGCTGACTCCTATGAATTTATAAACTTCTTTTTATTTCTGTTCCCTAGTCTTTGTGACAAAATCGTGATCTGTTGAGTGTGTTTCTCTAATTCTCCCTTTCTTGAATGTTACTTTTGCACATTTATCTAATCCGAAATCCATACCGATGTCATCACTGAAACATTTTACAATATTGAGGACGCCCTTCAATTAATTGTCGCCTTTAGCACAGAGTTTGATATCATCGTTGAATAATAGGCGATTAAACACTTTATTTTTTACTTTGTATCCATAGTTATAGCTCTTTAGTATTTAGAGATTTATTATTATTATTATTATTATTATTATT